ATCAATTTTCCTCGCAATCTTCTCCAATTGTACACGTCTAACCCAATCACGGTGAACGATTATTCTCGTTATTTATCGAATTAATCGAGATAATCTACCGTTTCATTTCACGAGAGAAAATGCGGAATCTTAATTCCTAAATAATTCGCTATAAAGAGATGTTTGCGTTAAAAAGAAAGACAATCAAATTGCATCCTATCCTTTTCTTCAAACGAATCATCTCGCGGGCGTAATTGGTACATAGAAACCCTCAAAAAGTGTATAATATTCTTGTCAGCCGTAGCATAAACCTCACCTTCTGAAACCGTAATAAACCAAACACCTAGCTCAAAAACGAGCGACCAAAAGAATATAGCGAGGAAGTGGCTGCGAAACACAAGCTGGAATCCTGCACAAGCTCTGTTCTCTTCTTGTCGGCCACCGACTCGCGGGATTACGCCTGCGTTTTCGAGGGGGTGCGCTCGCGCGAATTTTTTCAGGATGCACCTGCGCTGCGGGTATCGAATGTTGGCCAGTTGCGCATCGCGATTGCGGTCTTCGGGAAAAACTCGCCGAACCGGTCACGCGTAAAATATCGCGAACCCCCTTCTGACGATAGGACCCAAGCGGCGGCAAAGCGGCCGCAGCAGCACGAGGTTGCGGTCACGCGGTCCGCCGACGATCCATCGATCCTTCTTTTGCAGTATCGAGTGCGTAGAAACGTTTTGCGCTCGCGGCCAGCGCACGCCGCGCATTCTTTTCCGGATTCGCGATATTAACGACGCTTCTATGCACTCGCGCGATATTAACGACGCTTGTATGCACTCGCGCGATATTAACAGCGAGAGTTTACGATCCTCGCGGAAATTAAGCAGATGAAATTGACACTGGAATTACCAGAGGGGACAATAAAAATGATTTCCTTCGGGTTCTCTTATTTTTCCTGTTATCGGAGATGCGGAGTTCTAGAAAGATTTCTCTCCCGTGCGGAAATGTAATTATACCTACTCCTTTATTTTCGGTAAACCAGTTTAATTATTATTACCTGTCTATGCTGCATTTAAATGCGGAATATAGATAACTCCAGTGCGGAATTTCGAGAAGAAAATGGAATAAGAATGGATAAGCATGCGACAAAATGGTAGAAGCTTTCTTTATAGAAGAAATTTAAATTTAGATATGGTATGGTTACGATTGTTTAAATCGGAATATCTAATTTTAAATACCCTTTGTATTCCATCCCGAAAAAATGTAAAAGCCTTTCAATGTATTTTGGAAAAACAAACTCTAAGAGGTAGGATCAAATACACGTTTCGTAACAGTAAGGGAATTTAATTATTCCAGTGACAAGTTGGAAGTATCATCGATACGGATTAGCGAATTTTCATTTATCTACAAAACGAGTGAGTCAACTGGCTGATTCACTTTGCTGACTGGTCTTATCGACGATCGACGTTTTTAGGATTATTGTATTAATATTCGCAGTTGACACGTTGTCATGCGAAGCTTCAATGTACTTTTTTTCGCTTCGAAAGCTAGCTAGATGCGTGACGAGTAAATGATACACGCCGAAAGTAGCATATCGCGGTTGTCATCGTGCACGCAATAATTCAGCATCGCTTAGATCACGAAACGTCGTTTAGATCACGATGCACGAAACGGGTCAAACAGGTGGAACGAATAGCTGCGGGGATGCGTGATGGTGGAATAATCACCGAAAATCATGCTACGATTCAATCTCTCGATAAAAAACGCGAATCCTCTTTTTATCGATAAAAATATCGACGAAGACTGATTTTTAATACACGTACGAGATTCAATCATCAAAAATTGTACATCGAAAAGATATTTCGCTTCAATCAGCCTCTAAACATCTAACCTCGCATCGAAATTACTCGATCGTTTCAAAATTTGCATATATTAACGCGCTAACTATAATTTCGATCGCGTAACTTGTGTAAATGTAAAGAGACTCGTGACAAAGTATTGTACATTTGTCGTTACAGTACAAAGGGGTTGAGTAAAAATAATTTCGTTATAAAATTACAGTTTCGCGATAACCATAACTCCGCGAACCATACCATAAATATAATTGTTTAATTAACCAAAACGACCATCGACTTATCTCTGACTAATTTTATCTCTCGTGATTATCGAGTTTCGGACGTTGCTCTCCTTTTTTCCAAGCAGCTGAAAGAGCGAGAGAGACGAATTAAAAAAAATTCGCCAAGATTAACCAAATTGAACTGAATTTACACGGTATCCCTCTCAAGATTTTATCTTAGGACGTATGGTAACGTGGACTAACGTACATTGCCTACGAACAAAAGGAAAGAAGTGGCTGGGCACGGCGAATGTGGCGCCGCCGAGCAAATACACGGACAACAAAATGGAGGCTAAATTGAACGCCGACTGAAACGTATTACACCTCCGCCGGCCTCGGGATGATAATGCGCAAGAATGCCGACGTTCGTGATGATAATACACAGCCTCCTGATTATCGTGCTGTCCGAAGCCTCTTCGGGGTCGCTTGAGTTACGTCGTAATGATGGCCAACCAGCGAACCGGTTGTGGCCCTGGCCCTGCCACTGCACTTATTTGGCCCCTAACCCGATCCAACCAGACGAAGGAGAATAAGGGAAAAAAGACACGCAGGAACCCGCAAAACTGAGCCACACACCTGGCCCAAGGATGAAAGTGCGAAGCGTACGAGACCCGGCGAAAACACACACCGCAAGAACGCCAACACGAATTTCGTAATTTACGAAACGGCCATGGAGGATTCTGTAATCGTCCACGATCGAACGGTGTGTAAATGTTTCCTCGCGTGAAGAGGGAAGGTGAGAAGAGACTTTCGAAAATCGAAGATCGAAGATCCACGATCGTGATGATGCTCGGGTTCTAAAAGAGACCAGGAAGGAATTAACACCATGCAGAGCTGTAGCATTATTTCGGATCTTTCCTCCTCGCAATTTCTGCCAACATATAGCTGCTCCCGACCAAGTTACGGCTCACTTTTACTGCTATAAAGGACTCCTAGTCTTCTTGTACCCACTCGAGGATGATTACAGATTGTAGGGAGACTTTTAGAAATAAATGATTATCATTATCGACGCGGTCTTTTTGCAAGCTCGTTTCAATGTCGGTAATGGTGAACGCGTTCAGGGTATAGTTGTTTACGGTTAAACCTCGTTGGTCAGAAATGAACGACATGCCGGTGATGAACGATAATCGAATAAATAACACGTCGCGTTCTCTGTGCTACTCGATAATAATTCAGTCCGATGTCTCGTGTTATTCCTTTCGAATTAACACGATGTACCATTGACAAGGGGGAAAATTCCGTGAATGCGTTAAGGATTACCGCGGAAAGAACAGGAATAATTCGCAAAAAGCTTGTACGGTCGAACGTAATGAAAGTGTAACAAGAACTGGAACAGCTAAAACAAGAAAGGCATAAACGTTATAGCGGAAAGTATAAAATAAAACACGGCCAACGCATCGGGGAGAAAGTAATCCGCGAAGAAGAGGTGCTCGATAAGAACAAAGAGCTGTTTCGCTTGTTGCGCGGTTATTATACCTTCGTGGCTGAAAATAAACGTCGCTGTCCCAACGATATCCCATAACTCATAGACAGGTAACGCGTGGAGAAATTGCCATTTATTCTTTCCTTTCTCGGTTAACCTTTCGATTCAGCGTCCTTTCACGCATCCCGCGGAATTCCTCGCGGTTTCCTCGCGAAAAACGCGTGCATCGCGAACTCCAGTCGCTCCATTTTCGACGCAATGGTCCCCACGGGAGTATGGCGGGTACGAATTCAACGATAAATCCATCAGGGCCAAATACTGACCGATATTGCACCCATGGCCATTTGCCAACGACAGCCTCGAGTCTTCTCTCCTGCATCTCTCGTTGCATTATGCAGTCGAACCGCGAGGCTGCATTTTCTCCGTCCCGTTCTGCCTAACAGCCGATCCTCCTTCTCTCAACGGATAAATATGTCGGACGAGACATGATTTACTCGTGCAGAACTATTTTCGTCACTGGTCGTTCAGTCGTTACTGCGGCCGGAGAACGAAATCCTCCGCTCGTGATGTCAGGGTCAAGGGTTCCACCGTGATATATTCTGCTCGATGAAAGCCAGCGCGAGATGCACAAAGGCTATTCGATACCTTGATCAATATTTTGCCAAAATATATCGGGATCTAGATCGCGCCGCTTTGATACTCGCTGCTGGAAATTATGGCAGCGAACGCGAGCTTCGAGGGAAGCACAAAGCACGTATACTCTTTGCTTGGAAATTTTAGGTAGAACATAAGATAGATTATTTATTCGGATATAATATAAATCTTGGCGTTTCGAGGATTTTTTCATTCCAACACGCATCAAATTTCGTTATATACCACACTTTCAATGGCGTCCATGACGAAAGATAATATCCTTAAGAAAGGAAGCTCTGCAGAAACCTCAGAATTGAAGGATCGTGGAGTCACTGCAATTTCTTATACGAATTTTCGCGCAATGAAAGCACCCTGCTATTAGCTTTCGAGATAATGCAACGCAGCCAAGGTAAACGAATAAATTGTAGTAACAATTTGCAGGGAGTACCAAACGGTAATGACACGACGTTTAATTCCATCCCTGATGAAAGGTGCACTTAATAAAATGAGAATATCGCGTGTCAACCAATGTCACGGTCGCCTACGTTGCCTCAAGGTACAAATTCCCAAATGGGAGCGGACGTGAAAAATATTACAGGCGAGAGTTCTGTCTACCATCCTTCCTGTTATTCAGTGTTAACTCGACCTGGTAATCAACGTGGACGCGTTGATCCGTTCCTCCAAATATCGCGTTAGTCCGAATCAGCGAGTCGCGAGTGATGCAAGCCGAAAAGTCCCTAGACTCCCCAGACGAAGCGTAATGGCGCCGGACAAGCGTTAACCCTGCCAAGTTAAACGTGAAAAATCAACGGACACCATGAATAAAACACAGGAATAATTTCTAAACATCGTAACAGAGAAATGGAGAATCCAAATTCGCTACACGTAGCAGGGGGCCTGGAGGTCTCGTTTCCTGTCATGATGACGACCCCGCCTAAGAAGAGTCCCACGAAAATCAACATCATCGTATTAAGTATTCCACTGATCGATGCACGAGTGATAAATATGATCCTGCTAACCCTTGGAACCGGTCTGAATTTCTTAATTATACTGGTGATCGTTTGCAAGCCTTCCTTCAGAACGTCCAGCAACCTCTACGTCGTCAGTCTAGCCTGCTCGAACATGGTGATCCTCGTCGAGCCTCTGGAAGAGATACTCAAGTGGTTCTTCGACGTGAACTTGAGATTAAACATGGATTACGTGTGCATGATCAGCTTCGACGTTTCTATAATCACCATCGCGATTTTGAAGTTCATGCTGTACATCGGTATGTTTCAAGAGCAAACCACCTTCGGGCACACTTTGCTGAAAATGTCTACAGCTTTGAAAGGTATTCTATTGATCTGGTCCGCGTGCATCGTGTCACTCGCCATTGGCTTGCATATATACGACTTTTTCGAGGGAGACATGGCGGATATTTACGTGTGGTTCACGTTCATGTTTATCGTTATGCCGTTGATCATATGCATCGCCCTGGGATGCTTGATCATTTACGAACTAACGATACTGAAAGCGATCGAAGGATCGTGGAGGACGAAGGAGCTGAGGCACTTCTTTATGTTAGGTGAGCGAGTGAAATGATTGAAATTTCTTACAGTAATTAATTTTATAAATATCTCGCTTTCTTTTTAATTTTAATGCGTTAATTCTCGGATTCGCGTTTTTCACAATTCCGTTTAATGCGACAACCTGTTTCCAGTGGTCGTGTTAATCGCTTTCTTTCTAATTCGAGCACCATATCGAGTGGCTAGAGCGATCAATTTCATAGAGCCTAAGGCATTATGCTGTACGGACAGCAGGAGAGAGGTGCTCTATTTCATGGCCAAGACATACCCAACTGTCTTCTCGATCATTTACATCTCATTATCCAACGAATTTTACGAAATATTTCGGGTTCGTTTCCGACTATACTCACAACCTTATCAAACGTAAGATAAAAGCTTGGATATTTAATAACTCTTTAACTAACTTTACAGATTCTAAAACGTGTGTGCCAAAAATCCCATAAAGAAGCTAACGATGACATAGCGATTTAAATTACAGAAAAAGCCTATTACGAATCAAAAATCAAATCAAATCGTCATTATCGTAATCGAAAATGAAATATCAAGAACAATCTTGCATTTAAGAGATCGAAGATCGGAAAATGGAAAAGGAAGAGAGAAAGAGTTTCCTCCGCGAGGAAGTCCGTCGGTTTCGTATTTCCCATCCATGCCTCGCGTGAAAAACCGTATTTATAGTACACAGTGCGTCATTCCCGTATGAATTACTCAAAAGCTCGAAGTGCAGCTCTCAAACATGAAAGACAGGCTTTGTGAGGGAAGTCGGTCTCGAAACATGCTCCACAGGCCGATATTCATAACACAGCGGGAACAAGAGCGCAAACTCTTGAAATCGACTTACACCTACTAAGAACTCGCATCATGAGCGGGCCGATGAAAAAAGGGAACGAGGAGTCCTGCGACTCTTGAGGAATCTCGAAGGAGCAACCGATAACACAGCCATCGTATCGGACGCGACTGGCATAGCTCGTGGCGAAAGTGGCATTAAAGTAATCGAGGGACAACGACTCTGGCCGATTCGTTGAACGTTTCCCGCCTATTACGCGGAGAGGCAGCAAGGGTGGACGACGAAATTTGCACACGCGTCCTCGGCGAGGAGAGAGCGAGAAGGGAAGCTGAGTGTCGCAGTCGCAAAGTCGTGAATTCATTGCGCTCTCTGTATGCAAATTCGCTTCCCTTTGGGCGCGTCTGTCGAGTGCATAAGTCGATGGAGAGCTGCACTTACGTGCAAGCACGCGTGTGTTCGGCCTCCAACGACCACGCGCGCTTTGTATCTGCCAGGCCTCGTCGAGGAAAAATACCCGTGAGCACCAGCCATAATCTGCTGGCCGGCACCGCGAGCAATCGTTTCCAACGCTTCGATTGTTCGCCAGTTACGATAGCGACACGTCGAAATTTACACGGTTCGTTCGTTCCAACCGCGATTCGACCTTTCAAGGTGTTGCATGTCCAACACCGTGTACAGCAGTTTGCGTCGCTCCTCGTTGCACACGCGTGCAAACTTTTCCCTACGTGTCTCACTCTGAGTCACTCGAATTTCTGGCCATTTCAGGTACTGGGAAAACGTTCAAAGAGAGCACGGAATTTTTCGAACAAAGGCATTTTCGGAATCCGATGATACTTCATTTTTGTGCAATACGCAGGGGATAAGAAAAATGGCGTCAGTGTACCGTGTAACAAGAAAATTCTCCTGACCAGAAAGTTCTGATTTTAATGAAGGTCTGTGTGCATGTAGAGCTTAATGAGGTCTATATGCAGGTATTTTTATATGCTGGAAGAACCTTTTTAGGGGAGCCGAGTAGACTCCTATAGTTTCAGCAGTTTTCGTGATCCGAATATAATTTCTCTTCGTAATTTTTTCCTAATAGAACAACGGAGCCACAAAAATTAAATATTTCTTGTACGAGGTGTTATCGTGCATATACCCAGAGTTTCAACAAACGTGACGAATTAAAAAAAATAGTAAATTGAATTTCTCCTTTCTAATCGATTTATTTTATCACAGATTTACGTTTAACTAAATGTTAATTAAAATTAATTTAAAAATTTTATAGACGCTTGCACCTACGCAGACGAGACTCGTGTCTATAATAACGTCCTCTTCGACGCAAACTGAGTTCTTCTCGAAACCTCTTTCGGAATAATAAATAGTATTAGAGGGTAGTTACGCGGACAAATTATAGCATCCATGAATATTATACGAACACCGATATTTAAGGGAAAGA